ACCATCAATCTTCGTAAACTTTCCGTCCGTCCTCGTCTCCATCCAGGTGTGCACACTGAACGCACATCAAACGCTGATCAACATTCTAACTTGTGTCACCACACATCGTGCGTCATTCTGGCTGACTTCACAGCGGTTCCTCTGATCGTGTTTACAACTTCACTTGGTTGTTTTTACTATGTTGCAGCTGCATCCACCTCTCTCTGTCTCATTACGTATGTTTATTCCTTTAGGCCAACATACACGCGCCTGCGCTGGTCTCCACGGCCGTTTCCTCCTCATACGTTTTTATTGTGTGGTAATAAAGAGCGGTTCTGTTGCGCTTGCACATGTAAGCCAAATTCCGCTTTATCCTTTTAGGCGCATTTTCAGCATTCTACGCTATCAGCTGCGGATGTCCGGAATAGTACTCTGAACGATGCGAACATTGTATGCGTAGAATAAGCATGTACATATACCACCCGAGCAGATAGTCTCGCATTGCACCGGCGCCTTACTTTGGGTCAACAAGTAAGTGTAACACGTACCGTCATACGATAGCTTGTGGGAAAATAAAATAAATATAGGGCGCACAGTGGTTGCAGATATTGTTTCTGGTGTCTCATCGTTCAGTGAGTGAGTAAGGTCATTTTAATCCTTGAAAGAACGCTTACTAACAAATAAATCAACTATACGATCCCTGTATACTTAGCTGCATTTGGAAATAAACTTCATCGACCGTACAAGCAAGATGTACTCCTCTTGAGTAAGGCTAGGATAAAAACCAGAGTGGAGATCACACATTCAGTCACGAATTCGAAGTATTGAAAACATTTCAATTCTGATGTCACACAAAACCTTACCTCACAAAAATTTTCGCTGACTTCCGTACACTGGGATGCATTTAGAGGTATGAAGATATTTAACACTGGATTAACTAGATATGACCTATTCAGCCACTTATAGAAAGAGAAACGTTTAAAGCAGCCTGTAGCTTTTTAACACGAAGAAAAAAATCCCAGCACCACAACGTATAAAAGCACTGAGTGTCATGGATTGTGATCAAGACCACTTTGCCGTCCCATGCTAATGCGTATCACTTTTTCATGTCGTTGCTGCCAGAACAAATCGGCTGGTCTTTTCGTATGGTTTCCGCACGCACAGACTAATTCTGGGATTCAGATGCATCACGGCCCCACGAATCCTTGTCACAGAATGTGCGATGAAGACGATCACTGTTTAACAGAATAGCCTCACGTGAGATAGCACGTCAAGCCCCAACACTATACCCTGAACCAGTGAGATAGGTTGAAAACTGACATTCAACGGGAGCGCTTTTGCCGGCTTAATCAAAGGCCAACATTGGGTTTACGTCCGCATATGTGTAACGCAGGGAACCTCAACAGGGCAGGCCTCAGTGCTTCAAAGTAACTTATTCCTTGGCGGCTGTGCGCGAACCTGTGACTCTAGACGTAACAACAATGCGTGGTGAGTCGGAGGCTTGGCTAGAACGGTTATGTCAGAATTTCGGACTACAATGCAAATTTCCCTCAGGTTGTATCATACTGACTATGAAGAGGATTGATCTGCATCGATTTTGTCAGTTAGCAGGTGCATTTTTTCCGGCGACCTGAAGTCATGTAACCTAGTACCGTTTGTGCAGCTTCCTCCGATAACGATAGTTTCGCTGCAGTTCCGAATGCGTCAAACCAGAAGTGCGGCGGCAGAAACGCAGATGGATCACCTTGTGTAGTGATCCTTCCGTGTCGCGGCCGAAGTTTTTTTGCGGTGTCGGATCCATGTGTCACCACCCACAGCAACGTCAAATACCATTACCGCCTCGGCTAGCCCTTACCGTCGCTTCGATCGATTTTGGGTAACCAGGTCGATGTTCGCGGACGTAGACAGGAACTCCAACTTAGCGACCTTTGTGCTTTGGGAAAGATGTAGGCTGCGCCAGTTGATGAGCAGTTGAAAGGAGCATTTCATGGGAGCGAAGGTTACAGGCAATAAGCTCTCAGCGCTAACACGAGTAACCATTTTGTCCTCCTTCAGCTGTCGGTGTGTTTTGGCATTGTTTGCGTTCTGAGCTACACGGTGACAGAATTGTATTGGTAAGTTGCTTGCTCTCTGTTACATAGTCTATCTGTGGCCCGACGCCTATTTCTTTCCTGCGTATTTCGGATGGCAGCATTTTACGCTTTTTGTGCTACATTTTGACCACATGTTCTGCTATCAGTTCGGAGTGCAATGATACTTTCATCACGCGGGGACCACACCCTTTGTAGTTAGGTGATAGCGGTAACCTTGATGTTGAATTAGCGATAACATTTTCGATTGAGAATACTTCACGAATAAAACACCATTCATTCCAGTCATGCACTTTGACCTCTAGCTCGCTTAGTGACTGAAGATCGGGGACACCGTAAACAAGATAGATTTTGCGTCTTTTTGTCTACGGAAGTCATCCGGACTTTGTTTGCGTTTCTGGGGTTCACTCCAAGGAACATCTGCAAATATTCGAACATTGCATGTGGTGGTACGGAGGCGAGTGGCGGACAAGAGAACTGCCCCTGCATCATTACCTGACTGAAGTGTTACCTGGAGTAACCGCGGTTCACCGCAATGTACGGAATTTGGGTGACGGACGAGACGCATCATACTGTCTGGTTTAGCTTGAACACCTATTGGTTGACACAGGGAGTCCCACTGTTTCCTGTCCTTTAGTATGTTATCTTTTATGGAGTTCGCCCCGGATTCAGTCACATTAGAGCATATAACAGTTAGAGAATTATGGTAGTGTTTCATGTTCTCCTTTTTGGTGGGACCAGTGACTGATTTCTTCAGTTGGACAAATGATGGGGTCTTGAGTCCCGTGGTGGTATTGGTACTATTAACTCGTTTGACAGCGGGCGGGGTTGCGATGGGAGGTGCCTCCGTCATATGGGTAGCAACAACGGACGCGTAGGTTGTCAGCCCTTTTACAGTGTTTAGTGTGGCGGGTGATTCTGTTGAGGAATGTGCGACGAACCCATCTTTATGAGCCGACGCTGCTGTCGGGGTAGCTAACTCTGAATCGTTACTCTTACACTGTGCTGAATTGGAGGTTGATGTTGAGCATCGAGTTCGAGGCACTGATTTGTCTGGTTCATATGGGACAGCTTTCACAGCTGCTGCCTGCTCTACGATCCTTCTCAACCCATCGTACTTCTGCGCCAACACAATTATACATCTGACGAGTGGAGGAGACGTACAGTCAGTGCGGAATCAAAGAGAATCAGTAGTACTATTAAGCTTTTTTATCTGGCTGAGACTAAGGCGCGCACATCGAGAATGGAAGTATTTTCGACAGTTTCTGCGTTCCATTCCAAATCGCACAAGTTTTACACAGCTGTCTACGTCACAACTAACGTTTATTTCGGAAGCTTTGAGCTTAGCTTTCCGTGGGCAACCAGTACGTGCCATTGTGACTGTCAGATCTGCGGAAGACGTTCGTTGCAACGTCTGCACTGATATGCTGAACCCAAACGCCGTCGGTCAAGCTGGTGGTCTGGCAGGCACCTGTTCGATTGCTGTTGAACGAATCCAAGATGGCGCACACAGACGGCAGTTGGGCCAATCAGTGAGATTTCCAACAGTAGCCGGACCATATCCACCAAATTCGCGCAGATAGAAAAATACACCAAAAGCAAAGTATTGGTGTAAAATGCACACAGAGAAAACACGTATAACACAGTATTTCCAAAGCAGAAGTAGAATCTAGCACGGGATTTCTCGTTATCTTTTTTCCCGCATTCTATTGTCACTGGTTCATCCATATTATGTGGTTTTGTGTCAGGCGCATCCAACTACTCTTATCTTCCCCTCTAACTTTCTCACTTCAACATTGTCGGACTTTTGTGTTGTATTGTTGACCGCTGCTAAAACTCAACCTTTCTGCTTTTTCCCATTAAATGACCCTGATCCATTTAACTGGTCCACTTTTGTTCCCAGAACTCTACTCATTTCTTCGTGCATAATCTAGCCCGAAACAGAACTCATCGATTATGATGCTTTGGAGCGAGACGCTTTGAATTTCCACCCAAAGCTTATCATAGCCGGAGTGACTGCATATCCTCGCCTTCTGGACTACGCACGTTTTCGCAAGGTGCGTGCCCTCACTGATCCATTAAACGCCAATGGTGGGTGACCATTTTACTTGCACTGATTCATCTTCTTGTCTCCTTAAGCTCCAGCTTTTTATCTCACTCGCACTTTCATGTTGCAGGATGCCGTTGCGTTATTGGGCCGCCACATCACAGGAAGTGGTTGGTCGGTTCACTCACCTTACCGATTACGTAATCAACAAGGTGGCTCTCCAAAGCCCGATCATCCGTTTAAGCAGTGTGATTTCAGCCAAAGGTAGGGTATGCAGTACTTCGGTCAAATCGGTGGTACTGTCTAGATCGGACATATGGTCACTGCGTATTGGTGAAATTTAGAAACCGATCGTTTTTGAGCACCGATGATTGCGGAATATTGCAATACTGAAGCTATCCGTTTGGTGTACATAAATAAACCCTATAGTGCCGTACTGGAGATTTCGTGAAACTTGAGGCGCATAGTTTAGCTACGTCATTCGCTTCGATAACCCGTTGACCGTTCTCCATGATGTACATTATGTGCTTTCGCTATACCCAGTTAAGCGGAAGCTCGTGGTAGCCGATAAATGACAAGGCATAAAGTCATGAGGAGGTTGACTAAAAGATTCGATCAATTTTCCGAATGTGGGTCTCGGTATCAGCCAAGTTGTTGATTATAGACTCTTCATGACATGATGCGATCCCCCGCTCGTTGTTACTCCAGCATTCAACTACCAGTTGTAAACTTTTAGGTGGGGTCAACTTTATTCACCTTTTTTCCAGTTTTCTTTGCGTCCCACTCCATTTGCTCGCCGTTTTTTATTACTATTGTTCTGTCCAAACTCACTTTATGGTTAGTTCGACCGAATTGAACCAGAGATTTTCCTTATGTTCCCTCAGATCTGTGACTCCGTTGGAGCTATTCTACTCGCCGATATGTCGCACATTTCTGGTCTAGTTGCTGGTCGGGTAGTTCCCTCTCCGTTTGAGCTTGCCGATGTCGTCAGCTCGACTACTCATAAAACACTGCGTGGACCTCGCTCTGGGGTGATCTTCTTTCGGAGAACACCTCACGCATCAGGGACCACGCAGTCTCCGAGCACCATTCGTCCTCATGTTGCTGTTGATCAGTTAGAGTCTCGAATCAACAATGCAGTGTTTCCGTCACTTCAAGGAGGACCACATGAAAATGCGATCGCGGGGATTGCCGCGATGGCCCTTGAGGTAGGTTTGTGTTTGTCAATCTCTTGTTAAATCGTTCTTAGCATGCTTTTGATCAGCAGGCATTACTTGGCGTCAGCAGACTTCCTTGGCCTTAGGCCACCATCAGGGTGACAGGTGTCTACCGGTCTTCCCCACATGTGAGCCATCTATTCCGGCTAATCGCGCCCTTTGGTTTCAACACATTGCGGAAACTACTTGCTAGTCTATTAGGCATTCCTTGAGCATACTAATTGCGACGGACCAAATCATTCCGGGACTGAGATGTTGCACACCCGAAAACAGTTCACGACGCATTTCGACTTTGTTTAATCTCATTAAGTAGAGACAGCAGACCTCGAATCCGGGACTATTGTAATGTTAATTAGGACCTCTACCCCTAAGCCACTGGGTCACGACGGATAACGCTTCGCATCACGCTTACTGACTGATTGGAGGGTCATTTTGAAGTACTCCATATGTGGTTGGATTGCGATGCTCACTCTCAATGTAGAGACCGTGATTCGCATTGAAGCGAACCTTTGCCCGTCGTGACTTAGGGGCACCAGGGGATCAGAGGAACCCAATGGTCCTGGGTTTGAGAATGTTATCTGTACCTGATGAAATCAAACAATGTCGAAACGTGTCCTAGATTGCAGTGTTTTCGGGCGAACAACACCCATAAGTATCACTGTTTCCACCAAGTCCCATATCTAGCTAAGGTGGACAATATTTGTACTCCTTCACTTGGTAGATACTAGATATGTCATGCAATTTGGTGCTCAATGACACTTTTCGTCAGAGTTGTCCTTCTTGTGGAACATTTGCGCTTGAGTATACATCGCTTGAATATGTGCACAACTTTATCCTCTCGGGAAGCTCCGTTTCTGCTTGTGTCACCGTTGTGAAGCAGGTTTCTCCTCACGCTACCAATCTGATTTATTTGAGGCATCGTTGGGACGCTTATCTCTCTCTCTCTCTCTCTCGAATTTGGCAGGTTTAATTTTGTGAACTAACCTCATACTGAAACCAATTACATCTACGCATATTCGCAACGGCGCTTTCTTTGAGCTTCATTATGTTGAACCGTGTTACTATTGTCCATTGTCACCACAGTGACCCCTTAGGTTACTCATCACTGTGTTTTACCGAAAAAACATTCACACCCTGGATTAGCGAAAAGCGCTGTTGGTTATGTATACAGCTTCTCGGAAAATTTTCTTGCCCACTTCATCTGTCTGTCTACTTACTCGCGAAATCGTTCATCCTAGAAACACTGCCCTTGGCTAATACAGCCGGTTCGCTAACGAAACTGTACAATTAGTGACTCTCACGTGTTGCTGGCTTTTTTTTAGAGTGATCGCGGTTTTCATTAGATAGTACATTCTCATTTCTCAAAACTCCTTCATTTTAGTTAGCCCGTTGCACTTCACTTTTTGGTTTACGTCATTATGCGAAGACTTACCATGTGTACGGGGACAAATTGTTTCAAAGCAACCTTAGTTTAGTTGTGTTGATTAGCAGTGCTTCTGTTGGATTCGTGGTTTCTGGCTAAGCGCAGATTGTGATGTACGGACTCCATGCTAAAAGGTAAGGCGGATCAACAGCGTCTAATCATGCTACCAGCGACTTCGTTACCCGCTGCCAACGTAACAGTTGTTTCCCTCTAACCTTTCGCTGTCGTTGATCCGATGAGCAAAGTCATTACCTCCCTGGTGAGCATTGGCCCGACATTGATGCGCAGTCATTGTCTGCTCACCTCATCTTTGCGGAAATACTACCGCAAGCCGATGCGAGCAACATACCACAAACAATGATAGACAAAGCCTTGGATGCGCGTCAGGTCCTCAAACGCAAGAAGCCACGCCCTAGTGTGGTTAGCAGAACATTTGTGGTTATATCCTAGTCAGGGAACCTGTTTAATTTCTCTGTGGTGTTAGGTCATCTCTTGGATAAACCGGATTGCAGCGCGGAATAGTGCAAGCCAGATGGCGACGTCCGATTCCACATTTGTCTGTCGCTGCGGCTTCCATAAGACAGCCACAGGGAACGCCTGCGCCTACAGTGACCATGGATGGCTTGCGCCGCATCACGCGTACCTCCATCCACACATCCCATATCCAATGTAAACCGGAAGGAAAAAGACCGGGGTGCATGCGGATGTGAGCCCCGTTTCATCAACAGAGCTGACCCACACTCATTCAACATGCACAGCAGTAGAGTTCCTGTATACCTAATTGGGGAATGATGCGTACTAGACGTACACAAGACGGTGACGGGTCCGTAACCCGTTCCACACTCGATGCATGAAACCACACAGTCTCTTGGAGCCAGTAATCGAGGTGGAGGGCCTTATACAGTTAGGCACCTTATCAACATTCAGCTATACCGAGGATATCAATCAACAGCCAATACCTGAAATGCAAGAAACTCAACACGGGACACATGTACAGACCGACTACAGTGATGATGTTGCGCACGTACCGCATCGACCGCCTTATTGGTTTGGGTTATTAAACTTAATCGAATCGAAAGCAGTGTACTTCCCAAGCGTTGCGCTGATAGGATCCCATATTCAGTTCGCTCGTCTTCCTCTACATGTTGGACCCGTGTGATTACGCTGGTATGCAAGGCTGAGGCACTCGTGACCGCCTGTGCCATAGTCTCCATGGTCAAAACTTCATGGACGCTTGTCATCTCCGTGCTCGGCGTTTCTTTTCCGTATGCAACAATAATTTCTTCTGTACCTGTACATCAGCTTTTTAATTTACTCAGGTCATTGGCGCCGAGCAACTGCTTTTGATTCCCAACATCTAAAATTAGCATTATTTCGTGATAACCTCATCGTGATCATGTCTGCGTTCCACTTCCATGCACGAAGTTAGCCATATAACAGCTGCTTGGGTATCCGCGTCGAATCTGTGCAGCCGATATGCCCGAGCCATCTCCGTGATTGCAACAGCAGTACACAGTCCACTACGTACATACCACTGCGGCGCGGCACTTTCGATAAAGCTTCTACGTTTCGCTGACGTTAATAAGAACGGACAGCACCATCGACCGGCATACGCAGTAGCCGCCTTCGAATCGCAAATGCACAGCTTGCTCGTCATCTGCAGGTCAATTGCTATTGCGCTCCCAAGGTGAAGAAATTTCGATACTGCGTTCAACACGCCATCAACAACTTGGATTTGAGGCAGACTGACGGATTTCATACCTGGTGAAGGCTGAAACAGACAAATAGCCTTGCTTGTCTTGTTGCTGGGTCTGAACTTCGCCGCTGTCGTCGCAACAGCCGTATTCATGTGTGTGTGTCAGCTGTACGCCGTAAAGGCGCTTCGCTGCCGCGCAACCACCACCAGTCGCGCGCGGGCTGATTATACCGCGAGGACGCCCTCCCCTACGTATTCATGTGCTGCAACTTATCCGCGCTGTATGCAAACAGCGCCAAAAGCAACATGAGGATGGTTGTCTCACACGCTAGGGTTCACGCCCCGAAACAATTGATGTTCATCACGCTTACGATGAGCGTGACCTCTGCGTGTTTACTCCCAAGTAGCTAAATCACTCGCACCCAGTGCAAACTATGTGTTCTTGATCGTCAGATAGTGAGTGGCGCAATGTGAGATCATCCGGTCTGTAATAATGTGGCTCTCGATCGTTAATTGATTTGTCGTCCCCTGTTCGATAGATAGGTCGCCCGTAACCAAATTGGCCAAGCGAACGGATTGCAACACCCCGGATAACAACCGCGATTAGCCGCGCACATCCAATTTCTGCCGACACGTTGACGGACTCACAATGACTGTGTCGATTAATTGACGCACCTTCTTTAGTCCCGCGCACAAGAGTAATAGAATACAGACCTTTACGGAATGCAAGAGCAGTACAGACCATACCCCCGTTTTATTGTAGAGTGAATGAGTCATTACGTAGAGATGTGATATTCAAAAGGGACATCTTTAATTCCGTGCTCGCTGCGTTCGCCCTGAATCTACTGCTTTGGAAGCAGGAAATTCGTCCTACGCTCGTGGTCTGGTGACGCGGGCATTAGTGTGTGAATTTCCCGGGGTCGCTTGACACTACTGCAACACGGTCACCGTTCTCATTGGCTGAGCCAATACCATACGGACCGCTGACGTCTGTACACACTGTGGTATCACACTTAACGCGCGAGTTGAAATGACCTAATAGAAATAGCCCGTGACTCCTCGGCACTAACGGTATCACAGAAGATAACTGGGCGTATAAGTGGTCTTTTGTGTCCCCAAGAAAACATGTGGTGGGACTACGTAAGCATGGGGTCATTACTCCTAGGCTGATACAAGTTGGCTCTGCCATCAACTGGGCATTTTGGCGGTCGCATTGGGTATCATTATTCTCACGTCGCCAACAACCGTGGTTATTCATCCATTTTACCAGTTTTATCGGGAGGAATCAGATTACTCAGATTGCCAGCATGCAGCTTTGATGTGGATGAGGATCCACGAAAGTCACAGGGTACCATAGTTACCTGGGAAATAGGCGTGATCTCGAATTCGATGTCCTCTGCACCTCCGTACCAATTTGCCTGTTTTCAATCCAAACGATATGCAACTTCATTCAGTTACATGGCTCCGGGCACCATTGCAGTGCATGTAGCTTTGAATACTTAACGTTCTTTTCGTATGTGCCGTTGTCAAGTCAGCCACCTTGGTGTCAATCCTTCAAACGAATCGATGCCGTTAGTCAAACCTATTCCCCTTTTTTCCTTTGACTCCGTGTTCTTACTGCATTCTGTGGGACATTCCCATCACTCTCGAGTGAAGTTGATCGTACCACATGTCATGTACTTTCCTTTATTGTTCAATTTATCCGTTGTGCACCTACTCCTCTAAACACCATGCCCAGATGTTTTGTTTGCTACACTCGGTCTGCGGTGATTTGTGTACGACCGCTTAACGCAATTCTACCTTGTTTTTCGAAGCATAGTTAATCTGCGATTTTGCTCCCATATACCACAGAATCCTGTCAACTGTGTTGAC